CAGTGCATCCTTTTGTGTGTGAGTCTCTGTGTGCTTGTGTGTTTGTGTGTACTCACAGGCACTGGGCGCTGGAGATGTTGGAGGGAAACGCCGTGACTCCAAACATGACCTGGCAAGACGGGCACGAGGTTTGTTTGGCCAAACTGGGATGAAATCCAGGTCTAATGTCCATTTCAGAGCCGCGCGCCGAGGCTGCTGCCGTCTTTATCGTAGCGATCAGCAGCATCATTAGTGTCATTACCAACATCACTTCAGTCTGCCTGGGTCCACAGAGTGGTTTCACTTTTCTAGTTTGTCTTCTTTTTGTGTCTTTTACTTTGATATTGTCTCTGGTCCACGCTCCACATTTGATATGAACGCGTTTGCCTGTCTGTCCGCTCGGGGGTTCAGCGCCAGGTCAGTTAGAGAGAAATGTGAGGTGGTTTTGGTGTTTTCTGTCATGCAGTAGTGAATGGTGGGGGCGTGTGAAAAGCTCATGGGAGTATGAGGATGTAGGAGGTCTCAGCTGGGTGGAGTTATGTGTGTTTTTCTACTGTGTAACAACTTCCAGAACAGAGCATACGTCTTGATAAGATATAAATGACTGGTGTTCTATGAGCTGAGACTTTAATGCAAGAGAAGAATAAGTGTAGTGATGCGCTGTGAAAAACCGTGCAGTCCTCTTCCTTCTGTGAATGTGTATTTTCTTTTTCCTACCCTATTATGTCAAATGTAGGTAAAGAACCCTTTAATAAGATCAAAAAAATAATATTTAACCTCATTGTTGGCTGTCGTGCATCTGCAAGCCTCTATGCAACCCAACTCCACACCACTTCATTGTATATTTTCTGCATCTGACTTATCATCCCTTATCATCCCTGTTTCCCTGAGTGCTTGCGCTCATCTGTGTTGAGGTTTTGCTGCTCCTCTCGCCGCCCCTGGCTTTTCATGTATACGCATGGAAAAGCGTTCAGGTTCCTGAACAGAAGAGTGCCACAAATATTAATGACTGCAGATGGAAATTTCAGTTTTCCTTTAAGTCGTCTGGTCCTGCCTAAAAAGCTTCAGTGCACGTTACAACAGCTTTTCTTGCTGCCAAATATGCAGTACCTTATACACTCGTCAGACACTCACTTGTTATTATATAGTGCAGTAAAGAGGAGACAGTAAAGTAGGGAGAAATAGAAAGAGTGGTGAAAGACATGTAGCAAAGAGCCTTCGGTCAGAGTCTAATCTCAGGTTACTCGATTTTGCCTTTCGGCATTTGGTCATAAGTGGCCACTTTATTATGTATACCTGCTTGAGAGTTTGTGTAAAGCAGATATGTAATCATGCAATCACATAGAAGTTACTCCAGTGCCTTGATGAATCTATGCAACAAAGACTTGAGGCAGTACCAGCCAGTTGTATCTAATAAAGTGTCTGTTAGTGTATAGATGAATATCATTACATCATTACTGATTACAAGTAGGCTTACAAAAAGCTTCTTTAGTTTAGTTTCAGCTGCACAGTCCTCTTGGTCGTTCTTCTTATTATTATTTCCGCTGCTCCCTTTAGGGGTTGCCACAGCAGGTCATCTGCCTCCATCTCATCCTATTCCTAGCATCCTCCTCTGTCACACCAACTCTCTGCATTTCTTCCTTCACTACATGAATCAATCTTCTGCATGGTCTCCTTCATCTCCTCCGTACTGGCAGGTGCCAACACCAAAAGATAGATGCACATAAAAATCAAAAACAAAGCAGGACAGTCAGCTGATATGAAAGGCAAAGCTTGCAGCTGATGCTTGGAGTTTAAGCTAAAACCAGAATATTCAGTCAACTAGTTTAACGACTCTGTTATATTAGAATGTTCCAGGTCTCTGTGGTATCTAGATATCTACATATGCCTTTATATTTTGTTTTTGCCTTTAGTTTCACATCCAAGTAAGGAACTGTTTCAGACCAACATGTACTTATCTTTTGTTTTTTTTGTTTTTTTTAAAGCATTTAAGCATTAAGTCGTGCCAGAAAACTAACAGTAAAAATTAGAACAGGCACCAGGTGTGAATCTGTTTTGTCTCTTGTCTCATATTTGTTGTAAATGATGAGCACACTTCGATAATAGTGGACATAATATTCTTTTCTACCACACTCTCCTCACACGTCAGCAGGACACGCAGCCAGCTTGCAAGGACATTCAGGATTCAGGTACACACACACACACACACAC